ATAATGCACAAGTAAAATGGTGGCTAACAAGAAAAATACAAGATTCGGTAACAACAAAAGAAATAAGGAGATTGGTATTAAATATATTAAATTTTACATTTACAATTGAAGTAATAAAAACTGATAAGAATGTTATTGCAGATTACCTATCACGACAAAGCTACTCAGACTGAGACTGAGGAAGAAGATACAATTGAAAAGATACTCAAAGCTATTACTACACTTTGTACAAAAGTGGATAGTATGGACAACGAGATACAAAAGCTAAAGACTAATGAAGATAATCTGAAGTCTAAAACTAGTATAAGTCAGCAACATGACTATAAAAATGCGGAGCTATGTCGATCGGAAGACAGGAAAAATCCAGAGCTAAAAGGTAACGTTGGGAAACACCTAAAAACCCATAACATTTGTTTAAATACAGTTGCAGGTACAAGCCAACGAGTTAATGAAAAACATAAGAACTCAAACTTAAACCAGATATTTGAAAAACCATTTACCCCAAGGCCAACACCAAAAAACATATTAACTATAGAACCACAAACTTCTACATACGCGAATAGCCTACACCATGACAAATGGTTTCCAAAACCATGACAAATAACTACCAAGAGGAAGACAAATGGTTTCCAAAACCATTCAAAAGAAATAGGAGCAAATGAGACAACCTGGATGTTTCCAGATATTTGATAAGACTCCTTTTCTTTTTATACTTTTTAGATATATTTTTATTTTTTACTTTTCATTTGGATTAGCCACTTTTAGGCAGGAGCAGAATATAATGGCTTGTTTTATTTATTTAAATATTTAATGAAAATGGCCCATGTGGTCCATACTTTTTAAAACAAATAAAATAAAATAAGAATAACTATGAATTATTGAAAAAAGAAATCAACAAGCAGAACCGCGGCGGCTTAAAGGAGAAGGAGAGAATGAAGAGAGAAGAGAAGGAGGAGGCGGCGGCTTTGGCAGCTACAAACTCGCGGCGGCTCTGGCAGCTGCTGATGACTCGAACCGGCGGCAACAACAAACGGTGGGATGGTGGCGGTGACGCAGATCAGAGTGGAGAGAAGGAGGAGAGAATGGGGAAATAGAAATGGGGGAAAATCACGTCTATGTCTTTCAGATATTTAATGAAAAGTGACGGACAACGTCTCTATGTCCGCCGCTTTTTTAAAAATAGTTGACCAACATTTTGACCAAAAAGCGACGAACAAAGAGACATTGTCCGTCACTTATTTAACATATTTGACCAAATATTTTGACCAAGAAGCGACAAACATAAAGATGTCGTCCGTCACTTTCATAAAAAATAATTAATAAAATAAATTAAATTAAAAGTGAGGGATGCAGTGGTTATTGTTTATTTATTTATAATTATGTTTAATTAAAAGGGATGGACAACGTCTATATCTATATTAAATAATTTATTATTAATTATATATATATTTGGCGCAAAAATATGTGAAAATAGCGACGGACTAAGAGATGTCGTCCGTCGCTTTTTGTAAAATAATTATTTTTACTCAAAAGCGACGGACAGTGTGGCAAATTTCATCGCTTCTTGATGCGACACCGTCCGTCGCTTTTCTGTCAGTGAGTTTTTAACAGTTTTTTAGTAGTGTACCTGCCCTGTAAGCGGAGCAAACATGACATAAACCTTTGCAGATATGCCTTTCTTGAGTCGTCGAGATACTCTCAATCTATCAAGAATATATTATAATTAAGTATATGAGTCTATTGATAAAAATATTATTACACTTTCATTCCGAACTCAAAAAGTCAACCCCAGGCCTGCAAGGTTAGAGCTATAATTTTATTTCGAAATTAGTTATTCATGACATATGAGTCACAATTATGAAATTTAATCAAAATCCAACCTCGACCCAGACTCTGAATCATCAAAATATGATTCCTCAATTTGAGGTTCAAAAATTCTAATTTCTAACACCTAAATGTGAATTAAATAACGAAACAAACAATATAATAAAGGGAAAAATACCAAATTTAGAGTTAGATTTTTACCCTGAGATAAAATGAGCAATTCCTCCTTGAAAATTAACAAAATTGAGCTACCAAACTTGAAAAATCTTAAGATGAAGTATATGTTCAAAATGGAGATTTATTTCATCCAGGTCTTAATTGCTTTTTGCGAATGTAAATCACAACGGTGAACATGATCAAGTGATCAGATCTAACCCATCACAATCGTGACAGAACAATCACAAATGCGATTCATCGTCCAGAACTGACTAACAAACTCTATCATTCACGAATGCGACACATACCTCGTGAATGCATAAAAGTCCTACAATTATTATTCACGAATGTGATCTAGGCGTTGTGAGCATGGAGAAGAAAACCAATTAAACTAACAATTGGTGCATCAGTTATGAGAAATTCTCTATTTCACCCATCTAGAAAACAAAATATGTAAATAAATTATAGATCTATTGATCAAATCACCAATTCGAAGTTATCTAACAAATGTTGACCATGGTCAACTCTAAGCTTTATCTTTTACTTTCTAGTTCAGTATCATTTCAGATAATGTATTCATTTTTAAAAAAGTTATATTTAACTTCTAATCACTATTGTAGTAATTGATATTTCACACATTTATATACTTATATGAAAGCTAAGTTATGATTTGTTATCGTTATTTTATTTATTTCCGTATGATTAATTGATTTTACTATTTCATAAAAAAAATTGACTAATCTGACAGAGGGTAAGTGAAGTGTCATCACGATCCTTCTTGATTTGGATCGTAAAAATTACGTCTAATTAAGTATATATTTTCATATATTAAGCAATGAAAAATAGGAATCTATCTTGATCATAATGTAATTAAAGAATATGTGATAATCACATGTTAAATAACCAATTTAAGTAAGATGGTCAAAGAAATAAATATATTCAAAGTTAAGTTGAATGACTATCAAAATTAAGACTATATATTCAAAAAGTCTAAGTTTTATTAAGTAGAAACTATCTTTAGGAGAGAAAAGTTATCCACATTTAAAATAGGGAATTCTAAAATTAATTTCATGAAATAAATATATAAAAAAACAATTCAGGGGTCAAAGTGAAAATATACTTCTCCATGGAACCCATATATTTTTTTATTTTTTTTGACAAAACATTAGTGTGGTATATAGTTTTGACAACTTATTGTGTTCTTACACTCTAAACGCATACAAAAACACTTCCCTTCAAGTGTTGCAACAAAATCTTGAGGTATAACTTTATTGAATTTTAGGATGTAAAAATTAGAATTTTCTATATAATCTCGCTAAGGTACTGCTTTTCACTGATTTTTTTTTCTCTTTTGTTGATTTTCCAGAAATATTTTTTTATGTTCAATAGTTTATAAATTCTTCTAAATGGTCTATGAAGTTTTGTGTGTATCTCTGAAAAATCAAAATAAAAAGAATCATTCTTATTAATATATATTTTAGAAATGATTTTCTATGTTTAATCGTTGTATATAAATTCCATAGATTCCAGATCTAACATAATCATGCAAGTGAAATTCATTAGATCTAGCAAGAGGTGAATACAATCCTTTTAATATGCACAAACATAAAAAGCTATGTTATTTCATTTTTTTAACAATTTAATTTATGATCTAAATTTTAGATCTACATTGAAGAGGTACCAATTTGTGTAGAGTTCCTCTATGTGTATGCAATTTTCTAATATCGATTTTTATTCTTAATAAAATAGGGACTACAAAGAATTTTTGAAGACCTTTAATCTAAAACTTTGAGATATATCTTTATCTTTGTTTTCTTAAAATATAGACTAAAATTTGACTTATTTTATGTACAAAATGGTGAACATGAAGAATCATGGTGCAGAAGTGATCATTGATGTTAATGAGATAGACAAAATCTCTAATTTACCCATGGATATCACAAGTGGGTATTAGACCCACTACGCATGCAAGCTTATTAATTATGTTGTCGATGGTGGGCCAAACCTTAAGGTTCAAGTAAGTTTAGGAAAATCCCAAAATTGTTGAAATTATGGTTTTGATAACCTCAATGAATACTTGTCTATAATTTTCATAGATTGATCAAGCGTGTCAAATTAAGACAACATCCTTAAGG